GTGGAGGAGAACGGGTAGTAATAAGTGGGCTACTTTCTTAATGATGCTCATTGGTATATTGTCTTCGCCTGCTGCTGCATCTTTGGACATTTTTATGATGGCCAGTAATTCATCTGCTGTGACAGGGGATAAGAACAGCTCATTTTGCTGTCTGTTCTCAGGTAGGCTCTAAATTCCTCATGGTGATCAGGGATGCTCTCTGCAAGATTTTTGCCAACATTAATAAAATATTCATTGAAGTAGTTGGCAATGAGGGAGGGTTCCATTACAACTGAATCATTTATCATAAAAGCCTAGTGGGGGCCGAAGGCTGAGTGTTCCTGTTCTGAATAGAATTTATGACATTCCAGGTTTTCTTACCGTCGCCTGATGCTGACTGGAGCTTATTTGTATAATAGCTACGTCTGGCATTTCTAACTGCTTGAATTACTCTAGTTGTGATACTTCGGTATGCATCACCGAAAGTTATGGGTCTTTTTGCAAATTTCTTTTGGAGTTTGTGTTTTTCTTTTATCATTATCTTAATTTCGCTTGTGATATAGGATTTGGAAATGGATGCAGTTTTCACTGACTTAGTCTTGAGCGGGAAGCATTTATCAAAGCAAGCATTGAAGATGCAAGAGAAGTTGCAGCTGTTCACGTTAGGCTTGTCGGAGGCATAGACAAGATCTCAGTTAGCATTCATTAGGTTGTTTTCAAAAAGGAGCATGTTGTCGGCGCAGTAGTCTCTGTATTGCATTGAGACTCTACTAGACCTTTCAGGTCTTGTGGCTGTTTTATACATGGCAAAAACTGGGAAGTGATTTGAGATATTGTTATAAATAATTCCACTTTCAAGATTGTTAGGAGTGTTGTTAGTCCAGATATGGTCTATCACAGTGGCAGAGGTGGCAGTTACTCTAGTGGGTTTGGTTATAGTGTTGAAGACGAGCTTTGAATGACAGGTAGCAAGAAGGTCTAATACTAAGGTGTCGGTTTCTGATTTTAATAGATCAAGGTTGAAATCTCCTGTAATGTAGCAAAGTTTCCTCTCTGAACTTATGATAGAGATAAGCTCCGAAAATGTATCAAGAAAATTTCTACATTAGTGTGGGGTCTTCTGTAGATTACTCCTAGTAGGATATTTCGTGTGTCGTTACGTAATTCAGTGAAAACACTCTCCATGTGCTCATCCTGAACCTTTAAATCATCTCTTACAGAAGTGTTATACTTTATATCAGTATATAGTACGACACCACCACTGTGTCGTGACGTGTTGACGCAGTGTCTATTATAATTTGGAATGTTATACAAATGTTCAATATCGTTAGTGAGTTTGGTCTCACAGAACCTAAGTACATCAAATTTGTGGGCAATAGAAGATAAACACTGATCTAAAAAGGTATCTAGATGAAGGGGAATACTGCTGATGTTATGGGTAATCAAGGAGAAGGAATGAGGTAGTAGAAGACTAGAACTAAACTCGGGAGAGTCAGGAAAGTAATAGTTACAGTTGGGGTTGGTGTAACCCAGTGAGTTTTGTAGAAAGGCATCAGAGTCAATATGAGGGAGTATTGTGTCGACACCATGGGTAAAGGGGGTGTAACACATACGATCTAGCACATCTAAGGGAATGACACTAGTATCATCATTGTAGGAACATTGATACTGATTAAGGAACAGTAAAAACTCAGGGTCACTGAGGTGTGAAAAAGGAAGATCTAAGAAAGTTATAATAGTGGAGGGGTAACGTACTCACAAATGCTACAACCAACAGAATTAAGATGACTGGTACTGTTGAGGGTGATTCCCAGATTGAGTGGGAGGTGCGTCTGTCACTTGGTTTTGAGGGTTGCTGGTTTCCACCACAGAGGGTAAACGTGTAGTACTCCAGTTGGCCTCGAGTTGGCCGGCAGGGGGGGAAACTCCTCAGGTGATAGTGACAGTGGCTGGTTCCCACTCAGTGGGTTCTCGAGGGGCTTGGGGGGGGGATTGGTACAGCGGGTGGGTGAGTGGGGTGTCCACTTGCCTGATCCCTCACAACAAGGGTTTTATGACTGAACGTCATGTGTTTCCCTTGTTTTCTGGCTTTTTTAAACTGGTCCATTTATGGTGTTAGTGATGCTTTCTCTATATTCGTTTTATCGACAATTCAGACTGGTGTATGCAGTATAATACAGTAAGTAAGATGATGCAGGTGATCACAACACAAATTCTAAAAGGATGATAACATCATTACTGAGCTAACATTACCTTAACATATTCGGTAAAAGTTTGGTGTTATGTTAGTAAACCAATTATTATGACCATCTAAGGTTATAGCAATAAAATCAATCAGTTATTTCTATTTGACATAAACGTTATTAAAGGCTTGTGAATAAATTTTTGCTGTGTCAATGACAGACAGGTGAAAGTTGACAATTTTTACGGTATAGTTTATTTACCCTTCAATATCATACCTGAAAAATTCCACAGAAAACGGATGAGTGGTATCCTCTCTGATTGGCCTGCTGTCAGTGCACTCGTCCTCTCTCATTGGTCACCCATCGACTCACTCGTCCTACCTGATTGGCCAACCATTAAGACATTCTTGGGAAGAAATAAGACCAATTTTTCCCCCTGAATATCATGTCTTAAAATAAACGTGGACCACTACGAGAATTTTGGTCATCAGGAATTCATAATAAGTTCTATTCAGTGTTGTATCTCCATATACTGTATGCATTTATTTATGTCTAGTCTTGTCTCTGTCCTCCTGGTTCTTTAGTCTGTGTGTGTGTGTGTGTGTGTGTTTTAGTGCAGTAGGCTGCATTGCATGGTCAAATGTGTGATGATGCACGCACTTCAAATTCAGAAAGTGAATATATTAGTTAAGAAATCACCAATTTAACAAAATCAAGTATGAGAAATATCTTCCCTGAACTTAGAAATTTAAATCAATGCGCTGTTGTAAACTTCACCCACATCATAAAATACTCATGAAACTTAGTGCAACTCTACCCTTTGACTGAATGGCTCAAGGGCCACATAAACCAATCGGGGCCACATGTGACCCTCCAGCTGCAGGTTGAGGGCCACTGTTGTATTTAATTGTTCAAAATTACATAATGAACATTGCAAAGATTGAACTTTGTAAGCTAGCGTCAGATGTAATCATAGCCCATCAGTCTATTCTGTTTATCTATCGACCTGCCTGTCTATCAGTCTGTCTCTTTTATCTATTTTCTGTCCAATTCATGTTTCAACCTAATTATATATCTATTTATATTTCAGTCTGTCTCCCAGTGTCTAATTCTCAGTCAGTCTGTTTATATCTCACTTACCTCTTCATCTCCGAGTCTCTCTAGTTACCTTTCTGTCTCATTAATTAACTCTTATATTTCTTATCTCTATGGCTATCAGTCTCACTCTCTACCTTATGTAACTCTCATCTCATCAATTGATCTCTATTGGTTTATTTATCCTTTCAGTCTATGTTATTGTTATTGAAGATGATGGTGTTATTGATATTGTTATTGTTGTTGTTGTTATTGAAGATGATGGTGTTATTGTTATTGTTGTTGTTATTGAAGATGGTGTTATTAATATTGTTATTGTTGATGTTGTTATTGAAGAAGATGGTGTTATTGATATTGTTATTATTGTTGTTGTTATTGAAGAAGATGGTGTTATTGATATTGTTGTTATTGGTATTGTTGTTGTTATTGATATAGTTGTTATTGGTATTGTTGTTGTTATTGATATAGTTGTTATTGGTATTGTTGTTGTTATTGATATTGTTGTTATTGATATTGTCGTTTTTGATGATGATGTTATTGAAGTTGTAATTTTTTCGTAGTTTGTCTAATTTATTTTGTTCTCACCATTTTTATATTGACTTCAATAACAGGGACTGGTTAAGTGGTCCCAGCCAATCACTGTATCTTTAGTTGTCATCCAGAGATATGATTGGCTGTGCTATACATCATTGAGGTTTGTAGGTGAGGGATGGAAAGATCACTCATGTGGGTTGATGTATAAAACATGAGAGTTAGTCATATTGGTAAGAGTCTCTCTCTCTCTCTCTCTCTCTCTCTCTCTCTCTCTCTGTGTGTGTGTGTGTGTGTCACACGCGTTACTCTTACCCCTGATAATTTCGTTTTATGTCTATCTATCTATCTATATCTGCCTGCCTGCCTGTCTGTCTGTCTATCTATCTGTGTCTGTCTGTGTATCTGTGTCTGTCTGTCTGTTACTAATACCACGGTAATGGAATAAACAGGAACAGCATGCACGTCTTACAGATCAAATGGGGCGGAAGTTCAGCCAGGGTGACCAAAGATAGACAGACAGACAGACAGACAGACAGACAGACAGATCAGAAAGATGGATGGATGGATGGATGGATGTGTACAGGTCTCACGTGAGGTAATCACAGAGGCGTGACCACAGCGGCGGTAGTAATGGACTGTTAGTGGTGGGGGCAAAAACAAGTGTATTTATAGGATGTGGTGTGAACGAGTTGCACTATATAGTGAAGCTCTTCAAGGTGTTCCTTATGTGGTTTAATACACATTATTATTATTATTATTAGTATTATTATTATATATATATATATATATATATATATATATATATATATATATATATATATATATATATATATATATATATATATTAATACGTCCCCATAATAATGAGATCAGCTTCATTCTCATCACCAACGTGGTCGAAACAAGAGAATTCTACCAACAATATCAATCTCACCAGTTGATGTGATAGGCCATGTTTGTTTCCTCTCTCAAGGAATATGCTAAGCAAAAAGAACTGATGTGTGTTACTGGTGTTGTGTTACTTTGAGAGCTCTCTTGTTAACAGTAAGTGCTGCACTCGGAGAAACATTTGTGTTGTGAGTAAGTTAAAGGAATAAAACCGCGACCTTCGGCAGGTAGGTGGAGGTCACTTTATCTCTGTTTCTCGACCAAGTTTCCGACACATATTTGTACCTCAAGGAAATTATGCTTTCAGTACTAGTGACGTAGTAATAAGTTGGCCGGCGTCTCCAGTATATAAAGAACGCGCGTGCGTCTCTCGGCATCACTTACACTCTTCTTGACCTACAAGCAACATGGCCTTTATGGTTGGTTCTCTGTGATATAACGTACTCATGATATTGGTTTTAATATAAAATAATCCGTCGGTTTCGATTTATCAAAAATAACAACAATCTCGCCATTTGGTGGTTTACAGGTTTTCGTCGCGGCTGCTCTGGTGGCCGTAGCTGCAGGTGACAGTCACCCCTCTTACAGCTCACCACCTCCCTACAACAGGGCTCCAGCTCCAGCCTACAATGCTCCCGCCCCTGCGGTAAGCCGACAGGTGTTTCTCTCTTGTGAAACCTGTAAAGCGATCCTGTCTAAATATTGTGTGTATATTACGAGTCAACTCCTTCCACATACTGTATAGCTTTATTGTCTTGTAATAGTTGTTTTTCTACTATTATGATAAAATTAGCTGTGTATTATATTTTAACACACACACACACACACACACACACACACACATACACACATACATACACACACATAAACAAACACACACACATAAACAAACACACACACACACACATTGCTATTTATTTTAGTGTTTCATCTACAGTGGTATATAAATGAGTCGTGACAATTACTGACATTACTTTAACACTCAGGGTCCTGCCCAGTACAACTTTGACTGGGTAGTGAAGGACGACTACTCCGGCAACGACTTTGGCCACAATGAAGCTCGTAATGGCTACGACACTGAGGGATACTATTACGTTCAGCTTCCCGACGGTCGTCTGCAGAGGGTTACCTACACTGTGAACGGCGACTCCGGCTACGTGGCTCAAGTCGAATACGAGGGCGAGGCCCAGTACCCAGCCCACCAGCCCACCCCCAGCTACCAGCCCTCCCCCAGCTACCAGCCCTCCCCCAGCTATGCTTAAACTAATTACAGGCTAAGCAGCATATATGTATTTATTTATTCTAATACAAGGAATTGCATCTTATGTTCATAAAATAAAGGTAAATCTATCAAATATCTTAGTCAACATTATCCTTATTGAAATTACTAAATGAGGAAATTAATTTTAATTTAAAAAAAAAATATGGTGGCCATTCTCAAGTGTCTCGACTGAACTAAAGAAAACATTATTATGATATTTGAAGAACAACATTACTGAGAAACGGTTATATATTCAAGCTCGACTTGCCCAGTACTGTACACCGTGAATAAGAAAGGTGAAAACTCGTGATTTATGTCTTGATAAGAGGTTTATTAGCTTTTAAGAATACAACATCTAGGTGAAAGGAAAGACGCGAGAGGGAAGGAATTTTTAGCAATGAGAAATACGGAAAATAATGAAGGTGAATAATAAAGATCTCCTTGTAGGATCATCATGTATTGTGGATAACATGATTGAGGAAAACTTGTAGTGTGACCATGACTGGTACAAGGTAAAGTTGTATTTGTTGTGAATCGAAGTTTCACATAAATAGACTATCAAAGACTTTAAATTCACGATAGCCTTTCCCTACATGTATTCATGCAAAAGAAATATCAGAGGATTCTCATTGAAGAATTGAGTCGACATACTACCAAAACTGCTGGCAGACCTGGCCAGAACAGGAGATGGAGACGCTGTTGCATTTCAATATTTCGTTTCTGGAGGACGAGGTGTTGGCAGATGATCAGTTATCAGCTGCTGGTCATAGTGACAGTATCTTTAAACCTGATAATTATGAGTCAGATTACAGGGAAGAAGATATGAAGACCAGTATGTTATCATCAAACAAGGGGTTTGTCAAGTAGATCTTCTGAAGTCTGACGGCAGGAGTTCAAGGGAGACATCCTGTTATGAAATACTGGCAAAAACTCGATTTGCTATCTTGTATTGTTCAAGAGACGAACTGGAACATGATGTAAAGGCCGATGATCTAATTCTTTTATGAGATAGGATTGAATATTGATTGCGCAAAATTATTGTAAAGGAGGAAGAGTTGGTATCTTGTTGGTACACGATTTTGTATATATATATATATATATATATATATATATATATATATATATATATATATATATATATATATATATATATATATATATATATATATATATATATATATATATATACTTCATTTTTGTGTTTTGTGTGTGTGTGTGTAAGGTAGCTAGTTAGTCAAGGTTTTAGAGATATTCCAAAGAGCATTACTATGTGTACTGCTGGAAGTTAACGTGAGACGTCACACATTTAGGAACATCGTCATTAGTCACCTGCTTGAAATTATACCACGAGACGTCAAAAGGACCGTCTTGAGACACCGAAAATCATATTAATATATGATAAAAGTCGTCTCATAACGTTAAAATAGTTGTAGAAAAGCGTTAAACGTATACTCCTCAAAATACAATGGATCACCATTTCTCACCTTGGCCAGCGGTGGTGGTGGTGAAGCTCGTCACGTTCAGGTAACAGTGTGGCTCCCCAGGCAGGTGTTGGGGGCTACCGCCAATTTCTGTGGTCATTATGCCTTTCCATCACATGTATAACGTCAAGACTCGCTTGGGTGGAGCCATCAGTATATAAAGCGGGCATGGGATTCTTTGGACATCAGTCCTCTCATTTTCTGGCAACCTAAAGCATGGCGTCTAAGGTGAGGTCCCAGATTGTTAAATGTTTTAAGTCTTGTAACTTTATATGCAATAAATTCCCTAAAGTTTTGTATTATTAATATTTAATGAAACAAAAACATTCATGCCTTACAGATTTTCGTCGTGGCTGCTGTAGTGGCCGTCGCTTCAGGCGATCTTTCTCCATCCTACAATCCTCCAGCTCCAGCCTATAATGCTCCAGCTCCATCCTACAACGCTCCAGCTCCATCTTACAATGCTCCAGCTGCATCCTACAACGCTCCAGCTCCAGCCTATAATGCTCCAGCTCCACCCTACAATGCTCCCGCTCCTTCTTACAGTGCCCCAGCCCCTTCAGTATGTGCATATATGTTTCTTTCAGTTCTGGTACATTGATAATCACTTTCCCTAAATAGAATTCGTCGAATTCATTCATGTGTTAATGTCTTAAGGTACCAATTACTTGCGAATTCTAATATATTTTAAATAATACATTTAAATATACAATGAATAATAACGTAAAAAATTAAGACTCACTTGACCGTTATTAGTTATCATATAATTCTTTCCCAGGCTCCTGCCCCGTACAACTTTGAGTGGAAAGTGAAGGACGACTACTCCCGCAACGAGTATGGCCACAATGAAGGTCGTAATGGCTACGACACTGAAGGAAACTACTACGTTCTTCTTCCCGACGGTCGTTTGCAGAGGGTTACCTACACCGTGAACGGTGACTCCGGCTACGTTGCTCAAATCGAATACGAGGGTGAGGCCCAGTACCCAGCCCATCAGCCCTCCCCCAGCTACCAGCCCGCTCCCAGCTACCAGCCCGCTCCCAGCTACCAGCCCGCTCCCAGCTACCAGCCCGCTCCCAGCCACGCTTAGTCTAATCACAGACTCATATGCAACCTTATTTATACTTTTAATAAATGACCAGCCAGAAGTTTATATGTATCAAAATCCTTGATGATACTCTGCGACACTCACCAGGCATACACCCAGAGATCCATGACCCCGTTCTCCCACAAGACACCGTGACACTGCTATATCACTCGCCCCTTTTGTGCCACATGAACTTGCTATTCCACATGACCCTGCTATACCACATGATCCTGTTTTATCACTTAACTCTGTTCTTCCACATATCCTTGTTTTGGTACATGACTCTGTTCTTCCACATGGCCCTACTATACCACATGACCTTACTATACTACATGCCCCTGCTATGCCTCATGACTCTGCTATATCACATGGCCCAACTATACCACATGAGTCATGACTGTTATACCAGGGACGACATCTTAGGGATTATTGTTTCCGTCGTCCGTTAAAATACTTGACTCCTGTTCGATTCATTGCATTAATATGGCGGTATTAACACTGACATTTGTATAACATCGCAAGCGTTTGTCAAAGAGCCGAAATTTGACTCATTTGGGAACTAATATGTATTGTTTTATATCACAGTAGAATTTAAAAATTTTTATTTCGCTAAACTGAAGTAAATATTAAGTCGAAAATTTATGTGGATTGGTGGAGGATGTGGGGATATGATTGAGATAAGATCCTCTTCTTCAAGAATTTAAGAGCCATGCTTCTCTGCCTCTCACAGATTATAGTTTTCTAAGATGTGACATCACTGACAAGTGAATTTTCCTTGAGGATGACTTTCCTCTCTCTATGACTCGCCTATGTAGTTCGTTAGATGGAGGTTTCACATCTAACAGACACTTTGATATAACATAATTTTCTCTTCATATAGTCCGTCATATAGAGGTTTAACTGTGATTCATAATTAGAGATCATAATTCACGAATAACCGCACAAGTCGAGTCAATTCCTAAACTGTGTCATAATATGCTACCTCAACCATTAATTTCGCTGTGAATTTTTTTTTTACTTTTTTAATCAATGATGACAGATGGTGAGTCAATTATGATATTAACATAAAAGTTAACCTGTTACCTCTTACCGCCTCCAACACAAAAGGCCTCCACGTAATCATGTCAACCAGCCCGATCTTAAGCTCACTCAGTCATGTCGTCCTCCGTCTCTCTTCTCATGGTCTGAATCCCAGTAGGTATCGGTCCTCTTGTTCCCCCAGGTGTGTCCCTCACAGATTCGTTTATTATTCTCTTAGGGTGAACACGAAGGATGTGTCCCTACCATCTCCATCGGTCTCTCATCAGCCATCCATCAATACATGGTACTTGTATGCTCACAATTTCTCGTATGATCTCATTTCTAACACGATCCTGCCATTTCACCCTCGATGTATTTATCTATGATACTTGGAAAGGTTATCACTGGCGCTTATGATAACTTAGAAATCTAACTCGCAATGAAACTTCATACGTCTCTCATCCAGTACAAATGAATTTTACAGAATGTTAAAAAATAAATATTTTGTTCATAATGGAAGCTTTTAGGTTCCTGACTGAGTTCACCTATAATTGAGGAATATCATATATTCTAAAGTCAGGCGAAAAATATGTCAATGATTAAATAATAGTAAATAAGAGATAGGAATTAATATTAAAATTTTTATTGGATAAAAAATTAGATATACTGTCCAACCCGACTGTATCCTGGCTACACATATCTATATTCATGGCTGTGAAAAGGTAATGAAGAAGAAAAAGAAGGAAAACGATTACGAAAAAAATTAAATAAAGAAAAGAAAATAAGATTAAAGCATTAACTGTCATTAAAACACGTGACCCAGGGAGCAGGTGACCAGCAATAGAATCAGTTCAAGGGAAACATCCGGTTATGTAATGTCGACAAAAAACGAATTGTGATAATAATCAAGTGACAAGCTGCAATATTTCGTAAAACCTGATCATCTAATTCTTATAAAACAGGGGAAGGTGTGAAAATTATGTTAAAAAAATCTTATATCAGAGACAGAGCGATTAGTGTTGGTATACAGTTTTGAAGATATGAGAATGTGATGGATAGTGCTGCTTGCATATTACCCTGTAACTTCATATAGGGATCGTGGTGTAAAATTCGCGTGATATAAATGCTGCTGACACAAAATTTTCATAACAGGTGTGGTCTTATTACAGAGATGATATGTACTTGAATTCGATTTTCATTTTCAGACAAGTTGTAGTAGGAGAGAGAGAAAATAGAAGTATGAATGCAGAACTGTATCAACCAGAAACAATGAATTGGTAAGAGAACACCGCATCGCGTGATTAGGATTATCACCATTAGTCAAGTGCCTGAAGAAATGCTATGATACATTGAAAGCCGAGACACGAGACTCCAAAATATTACGTCACAAAGTATCACAGAAGATGTCTCGCAACGTGAGAAAAAACCCACAGTAAACGCTCAAATAATAATATTTCACAAATACAATAGGGCACAATTTCTCACCTGGGGGGGGTGGAGGTCACGAAACTCTTCATCAAGGTTACTGTTTGTTCCTCAGGCAATTTTTGGGGGCTACCTCCATTCTCTGTGGTCACTCTACCTTTCCCTAACATGTATGACGCCATGGATTCGCTTGGATGGAGCCTTTGGTATATAATGAGGGCGTGAGCATCGCTGGACATCAGTCTCCTTCTTTCTCGATAACCTAAAACATGGTGTCTAAGGTAAAGGTCCAGATTCAAATGAATGTCAAGTATTGCAACATTAGTGGCTAGAAACTCAAGGTTTTATTTGAGTGATTATTTACTCATACGTAAAGTTTTTGCATTCCAGATCTTCGTTGTGGTTGCCCTAGTGGCCGTCGTCTCAGCAGACCTTCCTATTTCCCACAATCCTCCAGCTCCATCCTACAATGTTCCAGCTCCGTCCTACAATGTTCCAGCTCCGTCCTACAACGCTCCAGCTCCGTCCTACAACGCTCCAGCTCCGTCCTACAACGCTCCAGATCCGTCCTACAACGCTCCAGCTCCGTCCTACAACGCTCCGGCCCCAACAGTAAGTCCATGCACGTTTGCTCCAGTTTTCCTAGACTGATAAACACAATTCTGCAATTTGTTCATGTGGCAATATGGGCGTTTAGGTGAGAAGTTACTTATCCAATATATTCTGAATAAGTGAATCTATGTACGAAATACTTCAGTCACATGATCGATTTTATAGTATACTGATATTGATATGTTGTGATATGTTCTTTCAGGGTCCTGCTCAGTACAACTTTGACTGGGTAGTGAAGGACGACTACTCCGGCAACGACTTTGGCCACAATGAAGCTCGTAATGGCTACGACACTGAGGGATACTATTACGTTCAGCTTCCCGACGGTCGTCTGCAGAGGGTTACATACACCGTGAACGGCGACTCCGGCTACGTGGCTCAAGTTGAATACGAGGGCGAGGCCCAGTACCCAGCCCACCAGCCCACCCCCAGCTACCAGCCCACCCCCAGTTACCAGCCCACCCCCAGTTACCAGCCCACTCCTAGTTATCAGCCTGAACCCAGCTACGCTTAACCTGTCTCAGTGTGATATTTGAACTTATTTATATTCAAATGCATGTATGTAGCATGGCATTATTCGAATAAACAATTAATCACTAAAACTGATATGTATGTACTGTGTATATACCGAAATCCTTAATGCTATTCCCCATCAACAAGTAAAACATCGATATACCACATGACCAAGATGTAGTACATGATCACGCTCTACCACTTGACTGCTGTACCACATGATTCTGCTGTACCACATTACCTTGCTGTACCACATGACCCTGCTGTATCACATTACCTTGCTGTACCACATGACCCTGCTGTATCACATGACCCTGATGTACCACTTGACCCTGCTGTACCACATGACCCTGCTGTATCACATGACCCTGCTGTACCACTTGACCCTGCTGTACCACATGACCCTGCTGTATCACATTACCTTGCTGTACCACATGATCCTGCTGTACCACTTGATCCTGCTGTATCACATGACCCTGCTGTACCACTTGATCCTGCTGTACCACTTGACTGCTGCACCACATGACTGCTGTACCACATGACCCTGCTGTACCACATGACCCTGCTGTACCACTTGACTGCTGCACCACATGACTGTTGCTCCATATGACCCTGCTGCACCACTTGACTGCTGTATCACATGACTGCTGCACCACTTGGCTGCACCACGACCTGCACCACATGACTGTTGCACCATATGACCCTGCTGTACTATTTGACTGCTTCACCACTTGACTGCTGCTCCACATGACTGCTGCACCACATGACTGCTGTATCACATGGCTGTTGTATCACATGCCTGCTGCGTCACATGACTACTGCACCACATGACTGCCGCATCATACGACTCTGCACCACATGACTGCTGCACCACATGAATGTTGCACCATATGACTCTGCTGCACCACATGACTGCTGCGCCACATGTCTGCTACACCACACGACTGCTGCATCACATGACTGCTGCACCACACGACTACTGCACCACACGACTGCTGCATCACATGACTCCTGCACCACATGACTGCTGTACCACATGTCTGCTGCACCACATGACTGCTGCACCACATGACTGCTGCACCACATGACTGCTGCACCACACGATTGCTGCATCACATGACTGCTGCACCACATGACTGCTGCACCACATGACTGCTGCACCACACGATTGCTGCATCACATGACTGCTACACCACGTGGCTGCTGTACCACATGACTCTGCTGCATTACATGACTACTGCACCATATAGACCTTACTGTACCACATGCCTGTTGCTACACCACATGCCTCTATTACACCACATGACTCTGTTACCCCACATGCCTCTGTTACACCACATGCCTCTGCTGAACCACATGACTCTCCTTCTGCATTGGCTCTCTTAGCATGATTGAGGGGGTCTACCTATGCGTATGTCTTGAGTTTATTTAAATCTTCTCAGTGTGTCTCCCAGGCTACATAATGTACTAAAACTATGTAAAGAAACTGTGGGGCGTTTATAGTATGTTTTAGATGAGTCACAAAGGATCAGGGTGGAGGTCTTCTGGTTGTGTTATGTACTGAATACAAATAGTGAACATATATAAAGAACAATGACCAATAACAATTTATTTTTTTGGGTTCGGGTGCTGTTGCGTACTGCATTACAACATTAACACATAAAGTTGCACAAGACATTAACGCATGGCATTTACACATGAAGTTAGCACATGGCAATACCACATGAGGTTAGCACATTACATTAACACGTGATATTAACACATGACATAATAAACACATGATATTAACACATTTAACATGTGACACTAACACATGACAATAACACATGCTAATAACACATGATATTAACACATGACACTAATACACGATATTAACACATATTAATACACAATATTAACACCAAATTAACACTAACACATGAAATTAACACTTTACAATAACACTTGGAATTAACACACGTCATTAACACATTTTTAACACAACATTAACACAACATTAACACAGTATTAACACTAGAATAACACATGACATTCACACAACATTACCGCATGACATTAACACAACACTATCACAATATTAACACAATATTGACACATGGGACTAACACAAAATTAACACATTACACAACATTAATTCACCATTGACACAATATTAACACAATATTAACACAACAGTAACACAACATTATCACAATATTAATTCATTAACACAACATTAACACCACATTAACACAACATTAACACAATATTAACACAACATTAACACAATATTAATATAACATTATCACAGCATTAACACAATATTAACACAACATTATCACAGCATTAACACAATATTAACACAGCATTAACACAACATTATTACAATAGTAATTCATTAACACAACATTAACACAGCATTAACACAACATTAACCCAGCATTATCACAACATTAACACGCACTAGACTAAGGAAAGTCTTCACAAAAAGTAAATAATCAAAACCTATTAGCATTGAGAAACTTTACCCTGAGCTAGTGTCCCCAAATGATGCCATGCTGCAGATAAAACGTCTTTGTTTCATCTTCTTCGATATTAATGGGTAATAAGAGTAACTGGTAGGCGGTACAACAGCAGATGGCCTACCTGGAAAAGTTTAAGAACAGCTCCAGGAGATAAAATTCACCTGTCAACCTTCTCTTCTAATGCTCTTTGTGTTGGCCGATTTAAATAACAATTCGGAAGTTCAAAAGATTAATGTTAATTATATTTCTAAAAATCCAATGTTGTCCCCAAAATTGAAGATATGGAAAATTGTTAGTTTACCTTTTGTCATTAACGTTTCCACACACACAATGGGATTGAAGTTAGATCATATTATAGGTAGATTAGGTTATGCTACAGGCAGATTATATTAGTAGGTTAAGTTTGGTTATAAGTAGGCTAGCGTTGGTTAGATTAGGTTACAAATACATTAGGTTAAGTTGTTTTACGGGCAGCATAGCTTAGGATTGGTTTAAGACAGAGGTTAAATTTCTGTGTAAAGCACATAATTATACCAAAAATCAGAATGACAAATTACTATCTCACTAACTGGGCCATTCACACAGTTGATAATGTTTGTGAATGTGATCCTTGTGAGGCTGGTCGGGTGGTCAATTATGACATGGATGTAGGTCGATGTTCACCTGGCCAACCATTCCCCACTTACTGTTTTTCCGGTTAGGTGGCGGCTCTGTGTGCGCGTGCGTGTGTGCGTGCTTGTGCGCGTGCGTGTGTGCGTGTAATTACAAGTATGACCACTTTGACCGACAGTTTCCAGCAGATCTTTCCTTCAGGATATGACAATGGATTACATTAGTGGTTAATGTGCATATGCCAGGATAGTTATACTACAATAATTATGTACAGTCAAGCTTGTCAGTTATTTAATCGTATTTGGAGATAAAAGGAGAAAATGTTGAGGTAAAGTCTGTCTAAGATGTACTGTATACAGGTATATGACCTTGTAATCTTCCCGTTCTACGGTGACTGATACTAAGTTCTTCAAGGTAATGTCGCAGTTTTAAATGTTAAATATGGATAAGATATCCACTCTTAAATTAACACCCGGGGACTTTAAAAACAAACATGTATATTTCTCAATAAGAATATTATAATTCTATATTTCAGAATTTACTGACACCCTGTATATAACTAAGCACACAATTTACTTCAATGCCTCTCATGAAAATTTAAATAACAAAGTGTACGACCAAACACATTGCCTCACACTACAGTTTACCTCTCACGCAGGTGCGAACAAATTAACAAAATTAAAAAAAAATAACGGAAAAATTATATAACATTTAATGCCACAATATCCTGACCATTGGGGTCTGTTATTCACATCCATTGTGGCCTCTACTCTAATGCTTTTTAGGCTGCCACTCATAGGATGAATATAAGGTGCACAATAAACTAGCCGCTGTCTGCTGCAAAATTCAACTCACTTCGCAAGAATGTTTGTCTACGATTTTCTGGCATCATTTGCTTTTAGTAACCAAGTTCATCAAAATGCTTCACCCATTGATACAATGCGTCCAGATGCTTCACCCACTGTTACAACACCCCCGGATGCTTCACCCACTGTTACAACACCACCGGATGCTTCACCCACTGTTACAACACCCCCGGATGCTTCACCCACTGTTACAACACCCCCGGATGCTTCACCCACTGTTACAACACCCTTGGATGCTTCACCCACTGTTACAACACCCTTTGATGCTTCACCCATTGAAGCAACACCTCCAGATGCTTCACCCATTAAAGCAACACATCCAGATGCTTCACCCATTGATACAACACTACCACATGCTTCACCCACTGTTACAACACCCCCGGATGCTTCACCCACTGTTACAACACCCTTGGATGCTTCACCCACTGTTACAACACCCTTTGATGCTTCACCCATTGAAGCAACACCTCCAGATGCTTCACCCATTGATACAACACCTCCAGATGCTTCACCCATTGATACAACACTACCACATGCTTCACCCACTGTTACAACACCCCCGGATGCTTCTCCCACCGTTAAAACACCCTTGGATGCGTCACCCACTGTTACAACACCCTTTGATGCTTCACCCATTGAAGCAACACCTCCAGATGCTTCACCCATTGAAGCAACACCTCCAGATGCTTCACCCATTGATACAACACTACCACATGCTTCACCCACTGTTACAACACCCCCGGATGCTTCACCCACTGTTGGATACACTGTTACAACACCCTTTGATGCTTCACCCATTGAAGCAACACCTCCAGATGCTTCACCCATTGAAGCAACACCTCCAGATGCTTCACCCATTGATACAACACCTCCAGATGCTTCACCCATTGATACAACACTACCACATGCTTCACCCACTGTTACAACACCCCCGGATGCTTCTCCCACCGTTAAAACACCCTTGGATGCTTCACCCACTGTTAAACACCCCTGGATGCTTCACCCACTGTTACAACACCTTCAGATGCTTCACCCACTGTTACAACACCCCTGGATGCTTCACCCATCGTTACAACACCCTTTGATGCTTCTCCCACCGTTACAACACCCCTGGATGCTTCACCCACTGTTACAACACCTTCAGATGCTTCACCCACTGTTACAACACCCCTGGATGCTTCACCCATCGTTACAACACCCTTTGATGCTTCTCCCACCGTTACAACACCCTTGGATGCTTCACCCACTGTTACAACACCCCCGGAAAAAGTTCAAGCATTACACAAAAACATTGCACTTCGAAGAACATAAGCAACAAATGGTCAGCTATCCCAGGCAGAATGTATTGTCAGGTGTAATTAGTGCACCATGCCCCTGGTAAGCCACATGATAATGAGTGTTATTATTGATCGTGATAGAAACCGTTTATTCTGAATAGTTGTTAAATCAGAAGTTTGAAAGGATGCTACAGAAGAACTCAGCAGTTATTTAGCCTGTATGACATGTGGGCAAACAATGGAGTAGGTCTTCGTCAGGTTGCATAAAATATATCAAGGTTGGTCGTCAGGGTTATTGTAAATGTAACAGCGTTACTTTTACCATGCCTCATACTTGTACTTCTATGAAGCCCAAGTGATTTTTTGCTTCATAACGTTCCCTATATTATCTTATCAAAGGGAAAATTCATTTAAATGAATGTGTTATATAAATAACCGAATTACTATAATTGCGTGTTTACATTGCGTGTCTTAGTATGACAGAATGTAAACTCAAAACTATCGATAAAAAAATCCACTTCTGGGTTTACATTGGTCACATTGACTTAACTGTGTATTTTACAGGTTCTGATATATCAAAACTATCTGTATGGAGGTGGAGGTCATTATAATCGGGTCTTAAGCAAGTCGGGAACAGCTTCTATACTTGGAAAATGTTCTGCTTTTCCTCTTAGAACTTATGACGTCATCTCCAGGAGGGCGGATCCTCCAGTATATAAGGCTTCCGCGAGAGTCACTGATCATCAGTTTTCTCCCATTTGAGCCACCGATAACATGTCCTTCAAGGTACAATGAGTGTTTCATATGTAGAGGTGAAAATGTGATATCTATATTTGTATAAAAACGTACGAGATTTCTATAAATAAGTTTATATTTAAAGATATATCCTTAATATTCTTAATGTTGCAGCTATTCTTCGTGACAGCCCTTGTGGTTGTGGCCTCAGCCGACAACCTCCCCTCCTACAACCCTCCACCTCCAACTCCCTCCTACAACCCTCCAACACCCTCTTACAACCCTCCACGTCCCTCCTACAATGCCCCGGCCCCATCTGTAAGTGGTTTTACGTCAAATTATCCCGTCTTGCCATATCCTTGCTGACATATTTTTAAAATTATATTAAAAAAATATTTATTATAGTGTAAAATATTTAACGATACAACTCATCACTTTAATTTCAGTACCTAATAATTAATTATATAGAACATTTTCTCTCACTGATTAACATTTTTCGTTGATAATAACGTATTGTTCTTAACACTCAGGGTCCTGCCCAGTATAACTTCAACTGGGCAGTGAAGGACGAGTACTCCGGTAACGACTTCGGCCACGAGGAAACACGTAATGGCTACGACACTCAGGGATCCTATTACGTTCTTCTACCCGACGGTCGACTGCAGAGAGTTAACTACAATGTGAACGGCGACTCCGGCTATGTGGCTCAAGTCGACTACGAGGGCGAGGCTCAGTACCCAGCCCACCAGCCAGCCCCCAGGTACCAGCCCACTCCCAGCTATCAGCCCACTCCCAGCTATGCTTAACAATATCACAGACTGAATATCGATAATTATTTACAATGATGTGCACAGAATTGTTTAACTTATTGAGAAACAATAAACATTTTCAAGAAAAAATTCTTTTCGCAAAAATCCTTTGCAGTTCAAAAAACTACTCAAATGAAAAACCTGCGCGAGCTAAACAAAATTCTAATTTTCATGATACAGCGACCTGAAGAAAATTAAGTGAAGAGATCTTGTTCACTGTTCTTCTTTAAATGACTTTTTCGTAAATGATACTGGCTAGTGTGTGTATGTTTTCTGTCCACCAGCATTTCCACTGATGAATACACAACAGAGAGTGAGCTCCTGCAGTTACGGAACAATTTACGTAAGATTTACGTGACATACTGTTTTTCTCTAGCAACATGTTAATTAGGGATTTGAAGATTGCATCGAATTTTCAATGAAAAATTAATTCACTTCGGCCCAAAAACATAAACGAAGTCAACCAAAATAGTCCAACTGGCACTGTAGCAGTTCACACTCCTTATCTGACCGCAACTTAAAACTGTGATGATGTGCTGGGTGTAACTTTATGCTTAACCTTAGTTATACCGTCCAGCACGCTTGTTCCGCACTACATCTCCTGTCTTGCTGGAGGTTACTGACGAGCCATTCTGTGTTTCTGAAGGTCGTGACAGAGTGGCAGTTTTATCGAGAATTACCCCTTAAGGGCTTAAGGTATTGTGTGTATATTGCAGTGTACTGTTCCCATCAAACCCTTAACTTAAACAGGGATGTATCATCTTTGAAAAGTTAAATTTTTGTACATTGCGTTATGTTGTCCTACAAGACCCTTATTAAGAAGATAATGGTATCCAATACAGTGAATACACTACTAGGTCTCATTCACGGATCTCGGAAATTCTTTATTAATGAAAAGGTAACATAACGCAGATGATACAGGATGTCGGAGATGTGCCAGGCAGACAATAAGGAAGTAGACGAGGACATTCATGGGTGTTGGTTTGATAATTAGCAATACAGTCAGTTGTCATGTGGTGCAGAAACAGTTTAAATCAGTTTATTTTTCATTTAATGCACGCTTTAATTTTTTTCTCCGTTTTTGAGTGTTTATCTCTAGCTACAGATTGACACACACACACACACACATCTATATACTGTATAAATATAAGTGATAACTGATTTAAGTTATTTGATAACACCATTGGCGTACAGGTAATTATTTTCTCTAGGAGTAAAAGTGAGAAGTGAGACGGAAAACTTACTTTACGTATTCTTTATTTAATAATGAATTGTATGAATAGATACAATCTTTAAAATTTTAATGATTTAGTATTAATTTATTTATTTTGTTGTATGAAATATATTGAAGGGCATTTGTGTATGTGAGACTTGCTATATATATATATATATATATATATATATATATATATATATATATATATATATATATATATATATATATATATATATATATATATATATATATATATATATATATATATATATATATATATATATATATATATATATATATATATATATATATTCATGTAAATCCACAATGAAAACGTGGATAAATAAATCTTGATAGGGAAAATGGAAACAAGACGCGTCTTTATTCAAGACATCTTGAATCCAAATATATATATATATATATATATATATATATATATATATATATATATATATATATATATATATATATATATATATAATGTGCGTGAATGATTGAAAATCCCTGCATATTATTACCAGGTATCTTGACCAACATTAGTTGGTTAAGATACTCATGTGTTGGCCTCTTTTTGTAACAAAAAGTTGCAAATTATTAAAATAAGAATAAGAACATAACTACTCATTGATTACAACCTGCTTTACCATAAGGCGGCACTTTACCTTATTGATTACTTATGATGATGTGTTCATGAGAAATATTGACTAAAAAACGTGAGCTCGTTTTTTGCACTCATAGAATAATTATACATGAGACTCGCTGATTTTTCTAATAATGATAATTATAGTTTGTCTCCTCGATAATACTGACGTATTCATGATATACTTACCTAGAGGGCGGAGGATACATGAAGAATATTTAAAAACATCTATAGTTGTCCACTTGTCTTAGCATAAGCCAAAGTAGAGTGTGAATTGAAAACTATCTGTATGGAGGTGGAGGTCAAGATAATCGTATCTTATTCAAGTTCTGCGTTGCCTCTCAGAACTTATGACGTCATCACCAGGGGGGCGGATCCTCCAGACTTAAAATTCAATATCATCCAGTGGAACTGCAGAGGTGCTAGAATAAAAATGCTCAATTTCACTTACTAAAGTCATTATTTCGGCCAGACGTTTTTTGCCTACCAGAGACGCTACTTGCGGGTCAGGACGACCCACCTGTATTTGACAACTACACGTCGTACAGGAGAGACAACCTAAGGGGGATAGCCCTATATATTAGGAGTGAATTCGCTCTACAGAGAATCAACCTGAGCGTGAACCTGCAGGCTGTGGCGTGCAGAGTCAAGTTTCGGTCTGACTATGTGGCCGTCTGCTCACTATACTGTTCGCAGGGCGGGTTCATTGCTGGGAGTGAGCTTGAGGAGCTATTCAACCAACTACCAGGAAAAAAAATGATCCTTGGAGACCTCAATGCTCACCATCTGCGGTGGGGGCGGTGTCCGGAATGACGGGAGGGGAGAGCAGGTGGCTGCAACTATATTCAACTCCAACATGTCTCTCCTGAATGACGGTAGTGCGACTCGAGTGGACGAACGAGTTGGCTATATCACCGACTCAATTTCGATAATAATGTTATACAACAATGTGTATTGACTCGTTTAATATATTCGACAGATAATAAATATAAAACAAGAAAACTTTTGTTTTTGTATAGAGGACCTTAGCAGTTCAGAAAACTGGTCATCATAAAATCATAGTAAAGCTCACCAAATGTAAAGTTTCAGGTACTGCGATTTAACGTACGTAAACCGATATCTCTCTTCATTTTTTTTTCAATGGTTTAGTTTTTCCTCTGTGAAATTAACCAGAAGGGACCTTTATGCTAGGGATGGGGTGCAACTGTCTAAGGATGGGATCGCAACCCTGGCTGGTTCTCTCGAGAGGGCAGTTCAAAAGATGTCGAAGTCTTTAAACTGCTAAGGGAGCATATGAGCATGGGGGTGGAGGAGACTGCAGTGGGAGCGGGTAAACAAAGTGAAAGGTTACAGAGAAATAGTGCTAGGAATTATGGCAAAACTAAATTAGGCAGGGAGTTAAAACCTAAACGAGACAAAGAGAGGACTCAGAACACGACTAACTTAAATGTCTACTACGCAAACAGTAGAAGTATGAAAAACAAAATAGATGAAAGCAGGGCGTTGGCATGTACCGAAAAAATCGATATAATAGCTTTCACCGAAACATGGATAAACCTAGACTCACGTGAGTTACCTGTCGAATACCAAATTGCAGGTTACAAATTACACCATACCGATAGGCAGATTAGGAAAGAAGGCGAAGTAGCAATCTATGTCAGGGATAATGTGAAGTGTAAATAAGGTAATAAAAACAGAACGGAATACAGAAACAATTTGGATAGAATTAATCTATGGTAGGGAAAAATTAATCACAGGAGTAATATATAGACCTCCTAATCTAGATAGAGTTAATGAGCGACTTATTTGGGAAGAAATGCTCAGGGCTTCCATACATAGAAAAGTATGTATAGTAGGCGACTTTAACTTTAGCCAAATAGATTGGATTGACCTTACGGGTGACTCAGAATCAGAGGATTTTCTTGAAACAGTCCAGGACTGTTTCCTAAGCCAACATATAACCAAACCCACCCAGGGTAATAATATACTTGATTTAGTTCTGTTAAACAGAGAAAACCTCATTAGTAATGTCGAGGTAGGGAATGAACTTGCTAACAGCGATCACAAAGAAATAAGATTCCAGTTAGAATTTCAGGGCAGCCGCAAGGAAAATTCCACTAAAGTCCCAGATTTCAGAAGGGCAAACTTTGATAGTTTGAAGAGGCAGCTGAGGGAAGGGGTATCACACTTGGGGGTGAATTACATGACCTCACATGAGGTTACCTCTCACAATGTACCCACAGAGGGTGACCTCACCTTACCGGGAGACCTGATAACGAGATCTGAGGTTGCCAAGTTCCACAACAATTTAAATAATGAGCAACTTAATGCACAAAGGCAGAACATACCATACAGAAAGCTTAGATCAAACAATGATGACCCTAAATGGATAAATAATTATTTAAAGAATATTATTGGACAAAGGAAGGCTATACGTAGGAGAATAAATCGTGATGAAGTTTACCCCCGAGATTATTATAAGGTATTGGCGGGTAGGGTTAAGACCGAGATAAGAAAAGCAAAGAGGAATAATGAAATGAAGATAGCAAGGGAGGCGAAGACAAACCCCAAAGGATTTTATCAAATGTATCAAACTAAAACACGAGAAAAGATTGGACCAATACAGTCAGATACCGGTGAGCTAACTGATAACGACGAAGAAATGAGCAATAATCTGAATAAATATTTTTCAACAGTTTTCACCACCGAAAATTTAAACATGATACTCGTGGCAAAAACTGTATACAGAGATAGCGAAGAAAATAAATTAAGCGAGATAGTAGTGACTAGTAACGATGTTAGTAAGCAAATAGACAAAGTAAAGCCTAATAAGTCACCAGGTCCTGATGAGATATTTGCCAGAGTATTAAAGGAATGTAAGGAAGAGCTTAGTATGCCCTTGGCAAAGTTGTTTAACATGTCCTTAAAAACTAGTGTAGTACCAGAATCCTGAGGATAGCGAATGTAATACCGATTTTCAAGAAGGGAGATAGATCACTATCCTCTAATAACCGACCAATCAGTCTAACGTCAATTGTAGGCAAATTACTGGAAGCAATCATTCAAACTCTATTCGAAATCACCTGGAGAAGCACAAGTTGATCAATGATTCCCAACATGGCTTCACAAGCGGGCGTTCATGTCTAACTAATCTATTAACATTTTTTTCATCCGTTTTCGAATCACTGGACAAGGGGCACAAGTATGATGCGGTATATCTCGACTTTAGCAAAGCCTTCGACAGAGTCCCCCACGAAAGACTAATAACAAAAGTGGAGGCTCATGGCATTAAAGGAGATATTCTAAAATGGATTAGGGCGTGGTTGCAGGACAGGAAACGGCGAGTGAGCATTAACGGCACTAAATCCGATTGGAGCAACGTCACTAGTGGAGTTCCCCAAGGCTCAGTACTTGGACCTTTATTATTTTGTATATACTTAAACGACGTAGATATCGTCGTAGACAGCAACATAAGTAAATTTGCTGATGACACTAAAATAGGGCGTGTAATTAAATCTGACGATGACTCCGCAAAACTACAAGAAGATCTAAACAAATTTATCGAATTGTCTGAAAAATGGCAGATGATATTCAATGTGGACAAATGTAAAGTACTCAATATAGGAGATGTAAAGAGGGAAAACAGATTCCAGATGAACAACGATGTTATTGAGAAATCCGACTGCGAGAAAGATTTAGGAGTAGGAATCTTAAGCCAAGTAAACACTGTGTATTTGCTACCGTGACTGACTGCAGAGCTTGGATGTGGTCTTTTGACATCTCGTTAACAGTGGACTGCCTAATTATTCAAGATCTGATTTAAACAAAGGTGCTCTTTTAGTGTCTAAATTTATATAAGCCCTGTAAATTACCTGTTCATTGTTATTCATTGAGTCCTGCCAAAATCCACAGCGGGTATTAGTAAAAATTATCAGAGATAACTGAGCGTATAACTTAAGTTATTATTGTGTCGGCCTACTTATGTCTTCTACTACAGTACTCATGACATCAACAGACCGTTTCTCTAATGTTAATAAGTGAGATAGATACATATATTTGCTTTGTATTCTTTATTTTATAATAAAATATGCAAATAATTCCATTTCTTAAACTTAAAGCGTCGAGTATCAGTCTGTGATTAAATTTAAGCGTAGCTGGGCCCAGGGGCTGGCTGGTAGCTAGGAGCGGGCTGGTAACTGGGAGCGGGCTGTTGGGCTGGGTACTGGGCTTCACCCTGGTATTCGACCTGAGCCAAGTAGCCGGAGTCGCCGTTCACAGTGTAGGTAACCCTCTGCAGACGACCGTCGGGAAGCTGAACATAATAAGATCCCTGAGTGTCGTAACCATCACGAGTTTCATCGTGGCCGAAGTCGTTGCCTGAGTAGTCGTCCTTAACTGCCCAGTTGAAGTTGTACTGAGCAGGACCCTGCATCAGGGACGTAAATTGTTATTGTCAAATATGAAATATTAAAAGACCCCATATTAATGTGCCATCGTCTATGCTTTTGAGAATGCGAAGAAAATCATAGTCACTAACTAATGACAGAAGTTTTAAATGTCCTGGCTATTAGGCTGAAAGCATCTAAACGTAAGAATCCTTATATAAACATTGATCTCTTAGGATTTACGAACTTAGAATACGTAGAATAAATCTTTTGAATATCTGGGCTCATAAAAATTTTGGAATATATCTCAAGAAATTGATATCATTATATAGGATATTTTGCTTACCACAGGCTCAGGAGCGTTGTAGGAAGGAGCGGGAGCGTTGTAGGTGGGAGGTGGAGGGTTGTAGGTGGGAGGTGGAGGGTTGTAGGTGGGGCGGTTGTCAGCTAACGCGACTGCCACAAGGGCGGCCAGGAAGAAAAGCTGTAATACCAAAGAATTAAGGTTAGTTCAAATAACGTACACACTTTTGTTTGTAGATTCTTCAGTTTTCACCACTACAGACGTAAGTATTAGAGCACCTTATGGAATTTTGTTTGAAGGATATCTGGAGTTTTGCCGATATAGGTGTACCTAGAATTACGTTAGCTGCGATCACAAGAGCTTACCTTGTGGACCATGTTACCGGTTGCTGGGAAAGACGAAGGCTGATGCCCAGGGATGCTCGGCACCATTTATATACAGGTAGCTCCACCCACTTGGCCCGTAGTGACGTCACCAACTGTGAGAGGGAAAGGAATCACTTTTTCTATGCGGTGGAGTGACCGCGAGAACTAGTCTAAAGCGTGATGAGCTTCGTAGCCTTCACTGACCTAACAGAAGGTCAGAGTTCACGCTCCACGTCGAACTCACCAGATGGCTGATGAAGACAAACCGAAACATCTTCGAGCTACTTCATGTTTCACAAATTGTCATTATACACATCGTATGGCCATTTGTCTGCAGTGTAATGTTCCCAAAAGTCATAGTCCTCTGATTATTGTTCACCGTTGTTGAAACCAGAAAAATGATTATGCATTATATCATGTTTTGTCCCCGGGCTGGCTAACGTGAGGTCTTCTGCGTCGTCAGATTTTCATGCCATACTTATTCTGAGAGAAACTCAGCGCTGTCTGTTTCTTTGTTTAGACGCTATTATAAGAGAGGAAGTTATGAACATTCTTTAGTGGGCGTAAGATGGAGGGAAAGTCAAAGATAAATTCATTGATTTATAACCAAACAATGATTTTAGTCCTTAAGTCATATAATAGGTATATATATCACGGCAAATTCTTTTAAACCCTTTTCATCTATCCTGGAATCCACCAGACTAAACTAAATACACATCATCCCTTGGGTTATGATGAACAAAAACATTGGGAACGCCTTCATTACCTCACCGGCACCACCTTCCCGTCGTCCCTCAGGCTACGAGTGTATTTACGAGAGACCGACAATACTAATATATCTACACCATCCCTCTTAGGCCAGGTGAACACTAAAATAGAGTTATTGGCAATCTTTTAAGACTGTTTCTCTCTTTTAGTCACAGTAAAGAATGTATAACACGGAGTGAATGAATGAGATCAGTTCACATGCCTTACTCCTCTGGGTGTTGGATCTTCTTCAAAAGCCGTACAACATGCAGAGAATTAATTTAATCTTCCCGCTTTTTCCACTTGTTTGTTTCCTTTGGTAAGGCTGACTCAAAGAAACTCCAATTACTAGGCAAAGTATAGGGTGAGGCCCAATGTTACCTCATAGATGCGTGCTTGCGCGACCACGTAACAGTTAATCAAGTGCCATGCGCTTAATTTTCCAGGCTCGCAAATTGTCAGTGACATCTCTTTTTCATACAAAACACTTATCATAAGCAACGTACTGTGTTCATATCCCTTGTTTTTATGTTTTATTTACTTTTTACATATCTCTGGGAACTTTAACACTGATAAGATACAGTACAACTCTTATTTCTACTAATGGCACACCTCCACACATTACCTTGACATTGGTGCACACAACAACATTATTCCTCACTGTGTGTAAAGAAGTAGAGGAAACTTTGGTCAGGGTACAAAAGTAGACTGTACAGTATTAGTAAAATTTTACTCCTTTTCTAAATATTCTTAAGACATGATGAGTGAAGTGAATGTATCTAATCCTACCTGCTGCAGCCCTAGGCCAAGTTAAAGCACTTACAGCTGTGACGTTAATGGCAAATTGTTGTGATTTTTTCTTCCTCTACACATAAAACGAATATATAAGTTAAATTTCACAATCTTGGAACGCTAATATATACTCAGTCTCTTAATTAAACAAATATTTTGTGGTTGAATCATTTCACAATTGTATTGATTATTTTTGTTAGAAACTCATCGTTTGTCACATAAGTTATGGCTTTTCCTTAATATTTTCTATTCAGGATAATTATGACTAACCCTGTAGGGTGAGAGTGAATAGAAATAAAGATTAAAATACGGGGGAGGAGACTGAGTATAGAGTGTTGACAGAGGATGCCAACAGTACTAGTGTGACACCGTAAAAAAACAAAGAACACACACACACACACAATCATGAGTTGTGGATAACCCTCATGGAAGTACGCATGTGATAGCTTTTGTTTGCTATTCTTGTTCAAATTGCTTATTATTGTTGTATGCCTTTAGTGCATTGGAAACTGTAAACCTTCATAGTTTATGTACACCGTATACCGACAATGGTAATACACATGCTGAACAGTATGTATGCATCACCTAAATACATGGCGAATTAACTGTAAATTTTTATGAGGATTTTAATCAATTAATTAATTAATTGTGTTTGTTTAGGCTTAGTAACATCGTGATGTCTTTCATTAGGGATGATAATACAATAGGTCACCTTTAACTATTTTTTTATTATTTTTACAGTGATTTGAGAGTTTTGTATGAGTTGTTATAAAAAAAAATCGATTATCATTTAGTGAACAGATCTAAGCGTAGCTGGGCCTAAGGGCGGGGTGGTAACTGGATGCTGGTTGGTCGCTGGGGGCGGGCTGTTGGGCTGGGTACTGGGTTTCACCCTGGTATTCCACCTGAGCCAAGTAGCCAGAGTCGCCGTTCACGGTGTAGGTAACCCTCTGCAAACTTCCGTCGGGAAGCTGAACATAATAAGATCCCTGAGTGTCGTAACCATTTCAATCATTATACGAAATTTTATATATTTTTTTCTTCTTGCTTTCCATGAAACGAATCTTGTTATGGCAAATTTTATACACAGCTTTGATCACCTAATTTGTGCAGCAGCTTAAGTGAGCCAGTTAGAAGTAGCCTCACTCCTCTAGCTACGAGAATCTTGGAATGTGGACCAGAATGTTATCACTATAAGACTTTGCTAGTTGACTGTTCAGTCTACTGTGAGCAAGACCGGGGCAGCATCTTGTTTTTAATGAACTGAGGCTCGTCAATGACCAGTGCCCTTAAATATCGTTTATACTAATCATAATTCTTACACTGAACAGCAACCTTCATAATTTGAGGAAGATATTCATTATAATATCTTCTATGATAGTTCACACCTTGGAGTGATAATAATTTTTAAGATCCATGAAGATCAGTTAACATATTATCCAGGTTTTAAGGAGATCGGTCAAGAAGTTAAGTCCTTCAATAAGAACAAAGATTCTTTCGAGTTTAGCCATGGTGGCCGTCTTCATTTCCAAATTGGTTACAACATTTCTAGAGATCTTTCTTTGTAACCAAGACAATCACATACAAAATTTCGATAAAATACGAAAAAAAAAATTACGGCGTCTTTTGACATCTCGTTAACAGTGGACTGCCTATTATTCAAGATCTGATTTAAACAAAGGTGCTCTTTTAGTGTCTAAATTGATATAAGCCCTGTAAATTACCTGTTCATTGTTATTCATTGAGTCCTGCCAAAATCCACAGCGGGCATTAGTAAAAATTATCGGAGATGACTGAGCGTATAACTGAAGTTATTATTGTGTCGGCCTACTTGTGTCTTCTATTACAGTACTCATGACATCAACAGACCGTTTCTCTAATGTTAATAAGTGACATAGATACATATGTTTGCTTTGTATTCTTTATTTTATAATAAAATATGCAAATAATTCCATTTCTTAAACTTAAAGCGTCGAGTATCAGTCTGTGATTAAATTTAAGCGTAGGTGGGCCTAGGGGCTGGCTGGTAGCTAGGTGCGGGCTGGTAACTGGGAGCGGGCTGTTGGGCTGGGTACTGGGCTTCACCCTGGTATTCCACCTGAGCCAAGTAGCCGGAGTCGCCGTTCACGGTGTACGTAACCCTCTGTAGACGACCGTCAGGAAGCTGAACATAATAAGATCCCTGTGTGTCGTAACCATCACGAGCTTCATCGTGGCCGAAGTCGTTGCCGGAGTAGTCGTCCTTCACTGCCCAGTTGAAGTTGTACTGAGCAGGACCCTGCATCAGGGACGTAATTTGTTATTGTCAAATATGAAATACATAAAGACCCCATATTAATGTGCCATCGTCTATGCTTTTGAGAATGCGAAGAAAATCAGTCACTAACTAACGACAGAAGTTTTAAATGTCCTGGCTATTAGACTGAAAGCATCTAAACGTAAGAATCCCTATATAAACATTGATCTCTTAGGATTTACGAACTTAGAATACGTAGAATAAATCTTTTGAATATCTGGGCTCATAAAATTTTTGGAATATATCTCAAGAAATTGATATCATTATATAGAATATTTTGCTTACCACAGGCTCAGGAGCGTTGTAGGAAGGAGTGGGAGCGTTGTAGGTGGGAGGTGGAGGGTTGTAGGTGGGACGGTTGTCGGCTAACGCGACTGCCACCAGGGCGGCCAGGAAGAAAAGCTGTAATACCAAAGAATTAAGGTTAGTTCAAATAACGTACACACTTTTGTTTGTAGATTCTTCAGTTTTCACCACTACAGACGTAAATATTAGAGCACCTTATGGAATTTTGTTTTAAGGATATCTGGAGTTTGCCGATATAGGTGTACTTAGAATTACTTTAGCTGCGATCACAAGAGCTTACCTTGTGGACCATGTTATCGGTTGCTGGTAAAGACGAAGGCTGATGCCCAGGGATGCTCGGCACCATTTATATACAGGTAGCTCCACCCACTTGACCCGTAGTGACGTCACCAACTGTGAGAGGGAAAGGAATCACTTTTTCTATGCGGTGGAGTGACCGCGAGAACTAGTCTAAAGCGTGATGAGCTTCGTAACCTTGACTGACCTAACAGAAGGTCAGAGTTCACGCTCCACGTCGAACCCACCAGATGGCTGATGAAGACAAACCGAAACATCTTCGAGCTACTTCATGTTTCACAAATTGTCATTATATACAACGTATGGCCATTTGTCTGCAGTGTAATGTTCCCAAAAGCCATAATCCTCTGATTATTGTTCACCGTTGTTGAAACCAGAAAAAATGATTAGGCATTATATCATGTTTTGTCCCCGGGCTGGCTGACGTGAGGTCTTCTGCGTCGTCAGATTTTTATGCCATACTTATTCTGAGAGAAACTCAGCGTTGTCTGTTTCTTTGTTTTGACTCTATTATAAGAGAGGAAGTTATGAACATTCTTTAGTGGGCGTAAGATGGAGGGAAATTCAAAGATAAATTCATTGATTTATAACCAAACAATGATTTTAGTCCTTAAGTCATATAATAG